AAGTCAGAATGGATTCCACACTGTTGAATTTCAATGCACCAAATTGCGTTCCTAGAAGTGCAACAATAGTAACTAGCGGTGAAGTTAAAATTCAAGTAGGAGATTCTTTAATAAAGTTCCAAGTAATTTCATATGATAGTAACTCTCGACTTTCTGGTGTACTGGGATCTATTTTTGATTCAACTTTTGAATCAAACTCAATTTAAAAATTAAAGTAAATTATAGTATGCCTAAGCATTGGTCACAGTATATTTTAGAACGTCCTAATAAAATTGTACTCTCTATTTCATCAGATTATTTAATTAAAAAAGACGGAGACTTTATTTATAATCCAGGAGTAAACATAAATTTAATAACTAAAGATAAAATAGCAACATTTTCACCTATTAATTACTCAAAGATATATATAATAAAAAATTATATGATATCTACTATAGGAGTATTGGAAATTGCTGTACTGAATAAAATTGTTAAATTTAACATTGTAGGTAGTATTTCGAATTCAAATATAACAGGTTTCATTGGAAGTCCTCTTTTAAAAGAACTGTGTTTACCTATCCCTAAATTAGTTTTAAATATATATCCAATAAGAAATTCTGTCATTTAAATTTATCACATTTAAACAAAATGACTGACACTGAAAGAGGAAATCATTCTGGGGATGATCCTGGAAATACCCTCGGCCGTGATCCCACTATTGATCCTGGAAATAACACTGGGAAAAATTCTACTATTGATCCTGCAAATAATTTAACAGGGACAATAAACCGCACGCTTAATGACTCTATGGTAGCAACTATGGCTGAATGTTTCGTCCTACAACAAGCAACTATAAATGTACCGATTTTTGACGGAAAAAATATGCCTATAAGAGATTTTATAGAGGACATACAGAACGGAGAAGCTAGTGTACCACCCAATTGTGAAAGGCAATATATAAAAATAATATTGTCACGTCTAAAGGGTGCAGCTAGAAATTGCACTCATGGTAAAGAATTTAATACTATAAATTCTTTAATTCAACACCTTAGACAGCGTTTTGCTCCAAGAAAAACATATGCTTGGTATTTACACGAAATCTCTACTATTAGAATGTATCGCATGGAAAATGTAAGTAAGTTCTATAATCGAATTACTGCATTACGAGATAAATATCCTAATGCTGAACAAATGATAGTAAAACCATTAATTGATTGCGCACTTGAAGCATTTATTCGTGGATTACCTGACACAATATCTGCAATGGTAGAATCTCAAAATCCAAAAAATTTAGACGATGCATTAAATTTTGCAATTAAATATGAAACTAGATACCAAATTCAATATCAGAGTCATTAAGATTATAGATATTCCCAATCAAATTATCGAGACCGTAGTTTAAGTCCTCAGGTAAGATTTGCAACATTGCCAGAAAAGAATTATTTCCCAAAACAATATCCACCAGGAAATAATATAACAGCAGATAAAAGTAATAATCATTACAGTCAAGGTTCTCAAGGTAGTAGCTATAATAGGAGTGGATATGTGACACCACCTAGAAGTCAGTCACCCATATCGGCACGGTCAACTGATACTTTAAACTACAGCAGTGCTCGTCGCCCAGACGCAGTGGCGAGCGAAGAGAAGATAGAGCGTCAATCAAGTGTTTGAGTTCTATTGAAACGCGAGTCTGCAAAACAAGACTCAACAGTGAGTCACCCATCATAATGTTTACTTTCCCATACAAGAAAAACAAACAGGGATACTTCCTTATAGATACCGGAGCAGATGTTAATATAATCAAATTAAAATCTTTAGATGAGGAAGTATTAGTTACGGAAAGTAATGCTATGGAAATAACAGGAATAACAGAATCAAAAATTAACACTTTAGGTACGGTAATGTTACAACTTGGAGATGTAGACGTACAGTTTCACGTTGTTTCACCTTATATTACTTTAAGTGTAGATGGAATATTAGGCAGGGATTATTTGCGACAAGAACAAGTTCAAATATCCTTCTGGCATAATACTATAGTTACTCAATCAAATCCTATAAATCCAATTTCATTTGTAGACAATGAATCATTGGAATTTAATAAAATTCTGGAATCCGAAAAGAAACAAATTAGATCTATTACACTCAAACCTAGGACTCGACAAGTAATAACCGTAAAAATTTTAAATAATAAAATTAATGAAGGATATTTACCATTCATAAAAACACAAAAGGGAGTATTTATAGGAGAAGCAGTTGTAACTAATTCTAATGGTTGTTGTCATGTATATGCAATAAACACTACCGAAAAGGATATAGAAATAACATTACCTTCGCAAGAACTTGTCCCATTTGAATATTATAACTTACCAGAAGAAGATTCTAGTGAAAATACAGATACTGATATCCCTTCTAATTTAAATAGATATCAAGCAGTAGTAAATAATCTTCGACTCTCACATTTAAATGAAGAGGAACAAGATCATGTTTTGGAAATAGTGGAAGAATATCAAGACATATTTCATTTAACAGGTGAACCATTAACAGTAACGCCTTTAGTACAACATCAAATTTTTACCAGTGATGACATTCCAATAAATACACGACCTTATAGATTTTCACCCTCACAAAATGAAGAAGTAGAACGAGTAATAACAAAAATGGTATCCGAAAGAGCTATAAGACATTCAAAATCACCTTACAATTCCCCATTGTTAATTATTCCGAAGAAAATTGATGGTACAGGAAAAAAGAAATGGAGAATTGTGATCGATTTTAGAATGTTGAATGAGAAAACAGTGGGCGATGCTTACCCCCTCCCCTGTATTTCTAAAATTCTTCAGAACTTGGGTGGAGCTACTTATTTCTCAATATTTGATTTAGCCAGTGGGTTTCATCAAATAAAATTATCTCCAAAAGATACTGCAAAAACAGCCTTTTCTACTTTAAACGGTCATTATGAAAATATTATTATTATGGAAATATCATATAATAATATAATAATAATAAATAATAATAATAATAATAATAATAATAATAATAATAATAATAATAATATAATAATAAATATCATATAATATCATATAATCATTATGGAAATAGATTTGTGGAAATCGGAGACGGAGCCACTACAAAAAAACAATCCAAGCATTCTGCAGCCCGAAAAATTTTAACCAAAATGCAAGGCATTTACTATTTTAGTGAAGAAGAAATATTTATCATCCAGAAAAAACCTATGTTTACTGTTTGGATTGTCCTTCAAGGAAATTAAGATTAAAATTATACAAATGGGAAAATGCTTGTCAATTATGCTATTCCAGAGGACACACTATGTATAATTGTCAAGGAGCGATAAGAAACAAAAAATTTTCGCCATTAAAATCAACACCAAACAGGTAAATAGAAAACCACTGAAATAGGTAAAAATTGTTTGAGTAAAATTAAAATTACTCCAAGGTGTAAATATTCTTGAATTACTAACAAAATATTAATTAAGAATACTAACATTCATGCTTATTATAAAGAAAAAATAATAATATTAAAATAATTCGAATCTTGGAGAGTTGTAATGCGAGTTCTATAATGCTTATTGAGAAGTATATCTATATATAAGTGTTCACTATATGGCTATACTTTATAAATGCTCAGTCAGTATATCTATATATATGAGACTCTATATGGAATATACGCAAAGTATGACTCCTCGTCTGTACTCCGTTACCTCACGTTCGCTCCTCAAATACCTTCACACAACGTCCATCTCCATACACCCGTCTCCCGCTTCCTCAACCCCGCCATTCACCCTGGCGTTTCACCACCTCCTCTGAGCACCTACAAGTTTTCTACCAAGCAAAAGAGCGCATAGAGTCGCAGAATGACATTCGAAGGTTCGGAAAAATAATATTATTTTTTTACGATATTATACGTTATTCTATACTGATATATTCCACAATATTAATGTAATCACATTTTGATAAAATGCATAATAAACTAAATGTAGGAAAGAAATATATTATAACTATTTACACTAATTTTACTTTGCCCGTTGCTGCTTATACATTTAACTAGATTTAACATTATATTTTATTCACTCTATTCATTCAGACAATGTTTAATTAAGAAAAATACTATTTAATTACGATGCGTTGCATTACAATAATATTAACTATTATCACAACTAAATACTATTGTTTTTGAATCGTGACTTAATATTTTCTCAGACATATTAATAATTATAATAATCTATATAAATAATCAAACGTATGTGCGTAAAGTTTTTTTTATATATACTAATATTAAGATATCCGTCACACTTTTATAATGCATGTGCTAGTTATAATCAAATTATTTTGTTTCCGCATGAAAGCATAATCCATACATAAAGAACATTATATATCAATAAACTAGAATTAGAAAAACACCACTAATATACAGCTTAAGAAAAAAGGGAAAGAGTCGCAGTAACTATCCTTATAAGTATTATCACATAAAAGAAAATGAATGTTACAACAAAAATATCATATTTCATACACTATAGTGTCAGACTTGTCAGAAGATTAATTTACAATTAAAAATTTTAATCATATTATAAAAGCAAATAAAAATATAAGAAGTTATATTTTTAAGTGCTTAAATATACTTTTACAATTATAGTTATGCGACAGAACGCATAGTAAAAGAAGAAGGAAAAACAATCGCAAGACTCTCACACCGATACAAGGCGATAAGGGATAGATATATATATATTTCATTATGCGAAAATCTTATTTTATTGTTTAAAGGAAATAAGGTTTGAACATTTTCTCAATTACAAAAGAATAAAAAAATATATACTAATAATAATAATAATAAATAAATTTTAAATTAATAAATATTAAATAAATAAATGAAAGTATATGATAAAATGATCATTCTATTAAAAGTTAAATACTTATTATATATATACATCTATAGATATACATGTGTTTTATATAAATTATCTTTGGTAAAGAAAATAAAAGAAAAACAAAAATTTTGAATGTTAAAAAAAGGGAAACAAAGACGGAAGCATTAAAAAATGTGTTTAATGAAAATTATATAAAAGGATATGTATATTACAATGTAAACAAACTATATTTAAAATACTCACATATTTACACATACCAAAAAAAATATATATATAAGAGAGAAGAAAAATAATAATGACACTACACTTTACACTAAAACAATTCACTACACCGACAGTCTAAATTTGGAGAGGATCTTCTTCTTCGTAGGTTTGGCCTCCAGAAAATCGATCATCTTCATTCAGTCTAACTTCCTGAAACAACGGCATTTCGATGTCCAAAATTTCATCTTTAAATTTCATCTCGGACTCCGCTATTGAAAATTCTTGAATTGGGAAAGGACCGGATACTGCAGATGCCTCACTATTATTACCTGCTATATTTTCTGGCCTTTGAAGTGGGCATTCTCCACACCAACACTCTTGAAGGCGTCTAGGATTTCTAAAACAAGGAATAGAAGATAAATTTATTAATTTTACAAAAATTACACACACAAAAATTAAAAAGAAAAGAGCCTTACCTCACTGAACTCATTAGTTGATCAAATGCTGCAGACGTTTCCAGAGTCTCTGCCTGCAAAGTGCGTAGTTCCTCTGGATCTGCAACACCTGGGACATCTTTTTTCCTATCTCGACGAGTCCTAGTCTTGTGGTGTATTGCCAAAGGATTATTTCTGGTCAACTCGATCAACTGCTGTATCACCTGAACGTTGTGATATAACACAAGGGATGTAGTCATGACTCGATCCAGAAATACGTCTCGTCGAACTGGACATCGTGGAGGAAACCGTCCTAGAAAAAGAATAATAAATATACAAAAAACGAAATTAATTAGATGTTAATTAATTAATTAGAAACGAGATTATTTTAAAGAAAAATTTATCTACTACATACCTGCCAGAAAATCTTCATAAATAACTGTTTCTGCAGAAGATGGTCTGCTCTGCATGATTATCGTTTAAGTACTGATGGATAATTGAAAGATCACATGACATTCAAGACAAAAGGAAGAAATAAAGGTTTAGTGACACATATTATCAAGGACAACAGAAGTCAATGAACAATAAAGTCATACCTACGATGATGCAGATATTTGCTCCAGAGGTATCACTGATAACACATTCCACACGTAACACTATACACTATCAATTATGTTTACTATTGCAAGACATTACTCTAAGCTGAAGTCTTTATTTCCGTCAATAATGCATTACAGTATTATATCAATGAATGTAAGGAACGAATGGGTTTAAAATTGTCAAAATATTCACGTTTGCAAAAATTCAATATTTAAAGTGTTCAATCGGGACAATGAACAAATTTAAGGGGTTACCCCCACTTGCAACTTTGAAAAAATCGATTTTTCTTTTATTGCATTTTTTTGAAGCATAAGTAACTGAAAGTATGTCCTGAAAATTTCAAGTCAATTCCAACAAAATTGACTGAGATATGAGCTTTGAAAGAGACGAAAGAGACTGATATATACTGATTTGTATATACATATATGCATCGATAAAATGAATATCTTTTTTTTAATTACCACCATGACTTTTCAGCCTACTTCTGGAAACCAAACTATTACGTACTCCCACTTACCGGAGTTGATTCTATGTAACTTTACAAAAAAATTATTTTCTTCGTGGAAACTGAAATTGAAACTTTAAACGCGTTTTTCTCGAAATGGCATTTCTGAAGTCGGTGACCAAGATTACTCAAACACTAATGAACCGATCTTCTTGAAATTTTGCAGGCTTATTTAATACATAAAAATGTAGTCTTTAATCGTTCGATTTTCTTTTTCGAAAAAAAATGTCCGTTTTATAGCCAAAAAACGGACGTTTTTTTTCGTTAAAATCGAACTTTTAACTTAGACTGTCAGCCATTTTGTGAAAAATAAATATTTTTTTAAATCCTTCGATTAAAGACTAGTTTATACTCATATTTGACTAAATTTATCCACATTTTTTGATTCCGATGATTCACTTCGCCGCAATGTTGGTCACCGCAAACCGTATAAATAAAAATATTATTTCGTTGACGGCAGTTTGACACTTAACTATGTAATATTTTTTAACAAAAAAATTACTAAAAGTTCTTCAATATGTGTTCTTTAAGATGATATAGTTATAGATTAAAAAGGTTTTGTAGTTTTCTTTAAAAAAATTCATAAAAAAGGCTTATTTTTTTGCGCTACAAGTGGGGGTAACCCCTTAAGGAGGGAGGACTGTTACATCCCAGTAACAAAATTCCCTTTTTGAAATTTAAGACATTAGCAATGAATCATTGCTGATGATTGCGTATGTAAAATATCAAGAATAGAGATATTGCGTTTGAAATAAATATAACAAAAAGAAAAGCAATAGATATAAAATAAATATGAAAAAAACTAGAGAAATGATATTATTACTTTTAATAATTTATCAAAATTAAAATAAACCTTTAAATAAATATAATTACAAAATTTTGAGATATAGCAATAATAATTAAATATGAAATAATATTTAATTGGCTGATTATTTCTCATGCAATACTCTTATTTTAAAATTAATATTAAACAATAAATGTATCTTTCTATTTTCTATGCATTACTTTCTAAGAATTATTTTGCAGCTGCATAGAGTATAGAATGTTTTTCGAAATAGTTCATCTGTATATCGATCCTCATGATTGACAAAATACAAAGTAATTATCTTACTCTTCATAGAACGGAAACTATGAGATTCGATATTCAGATGCACACCAATATAAATTATAAATAAAATTATATATGTATTATCAGTGGACTTGACTCATATTAGTATGTTGCGAAGGCACGAGCTTAGTTTTCTTCCTGGGAATGTTTACTATTCCATGAAATAGTGATACCCGCGATATACTATATGTGATGCAGGTGGTCACAAAGCTCCAAGAAGTGACTCAATTCTTGGGATGATCTAGGAATCAAGCTTAGAGATGGGGGTGATCTTTGATCTTTTGTCTCCCACTAGGGAAGATTTGCTACTATAAAACCACATGCAAATCCATTGTCATCCGTCAGTTTATTTCGATACAAAGTCATTGTTACGTTCGCGTCGTGACAGCTTCATCTTTAAGCTTGACCCTTCGGTAATCATAATTTTGGCCGTAATTCTTGCATTTTCGAACAGTATAAAGTTTACTCGTTGCTCTAAAATACTGAGCAAGTATTCATTATCGCCAGACTTGTGAGTCGGTATTCTCAAAATTAAAATTGTCCGTCGTAATTAGTCTATTTTCAAAATATACGAATTGCAAACGTGACGTGTGTGCTTTCGGAAAATAAGAACTAGAAAACTGTGACAAAGTCCCAACCGTTCTTTTTAAGAGTTGCAAAACCTCACAGTGTCAACGATTATAGGAATTATATTCCTGATCAAATTATCATCCTTGTATCTGCCCTCTGAACAGAGGTAATTGTAAGTACCTTTAAATTTTAAACAATTTGTATTAACATTCAACACAACAACATTTATACACCTCATTTCTTGTAATCAAAGATAATAAATATTTCATTAAAAATTTAAAATCATTAAATTTTTGAGTTAAATTTATTAAATATCCTAAAGTTCTCAAGGAAAGGTAATTATATAACAATTAAATTTGAAATAATTATAAGACGACCCCCGTAGGGTCGATAGAAAACAACGTACTCACATAAAAATAAATGGTCAAGCTTTACCAACTTGACTTAATCAGCCTACCATTCCTCCGAAATAAAATAAAGAATAATTAAAATTCAAAATAACCTCGCTTTCCGCTCGGGATGTAACACTATTTTTACAGTGTAACATTTATAAATTAAAGGTCATTTGTCGTAATGGATAAAATAAAATTTTCTTATATAGTAATATGAATCTAAATAAACAAAAAAATTTTTAGTATAAAAGTGAATTTTTCAATTTTAATTGTAATTAATTCTATAATTTTCAATATAATATATGCTTTATATACATCAGTCTGAAATGGTATTTCAATAGTCAAAATTAAAATTATTAAAAAATTAACTATAATAATCGTCGTATTCATTCTGTCCAGTCTGTCCGCACCTGAAGTTAGTCATGGTTATTCTTTTAATTTTTATTCGTTTTGATAAAAAATAAAATATAAAATAACGATTTTTAAGAAAAATTCATGCTTTTGTTTTTTTATATGTTTTGATAGATAATATTACATTTCTTTATTTTGTTATTATTCTTTTAATTTAATAATATTATTTTTATTTCTCAAATAATTATTAACTATAATAATCGTCGTATTCATTCTGTCCAGTCTGTCCACACCTGAAGTTAGTCATGGTTATTCTTTTGTTTTTTATTCGTTTTGATAAAAAATAGAAATAAAATATAAAATAACGATTTTTAAAAAAAATTCATGCTTTTGTTTTTTTATATGTTTTGATAGATAATATTACATTTCTTTATTTTGTTATTATTCTTTTAATTTAATAATATTAAATATTATTATTAAATATTCAAAACTATTTTTATTAATCTAAAAAAATTATTAACCCATTAACGCCTGAAACCTTTGAAATTTTGTGTTTAATTTAAGATATAATTTTATATATTAAACATGCTCCCTAAAAATAACTGAAGCGTTTCTTTATGTTTTCGGGGTCGCTCTACAAGATTCCATGCTCAGATTTTAAATTTATCGCATAGAAAATTAAATATGGCGAATTTTCTGCACCAAATTGCGAAAAAAATGAAATTTTTTTTTTTAAATAATTATTTCTTACTAAAAACATTTTTTTCAAATGAATACAAGTGTCACAAATTGGCACAAACTTATTAAACTTTCAAAATATGCAATAGCGGAAACAAAAAAAACAAAATGGCGGCTTCAAAATGGCGCTAATTTGAGAAAAAATTAATTAATTTTTTTTATAGTGCACCGATTCAGGCAATAGCTATGAAATGTAATAGAACTTAGTGTTTATATGTTTTTGAGGTCTCTCATCACGAATATGTACTCGGATTTTCAAAATTCAAAATGGCGGATCCAATATGGCCGACGAAAATTTTAAAAATTTACTCGATTCGCTTGAATTTTGTTACTCAGGGGTTTTTGAGGTCGCTGATTGTGAATCTGCAATCGGATTTTCAAAATTCAAAATGGCGGATCCAATATGGCCGACGAACATTGTAAAAATTCACTCTATTCGCTTGAACTTTGTTACTCAGGGGTTTTTGGGGTTGCTGATTATGAATCTGCTATTGGATTTTCATAATACAAAATGGCAGATCCAATATGGCCGACAAAAATTATTTAAATTTACTAGATTTGCTTGAAACTTGTTACTCAGGGGTTTTTGGGGTCGCTGATTATGAATCTGCTATTGGATTTTCAAAATACAAAATGGCGGATCCAATATGTCCGATAAAAATTGTTTAAATCAATTCTAGTCGCTTGGAATTTGTAAAATGATGACCATCTATTTGCCGTCAGAATAAGACGTTTACCAACTCTCTAAATTATTCTAATGATATTAAAGCTAAAATTCGATAAAATTGGTCAACTACTCCTTATCTGTCATCTCAAATTGTTTCATTAACAATGTCAGGTTATAAGTTTTGCAATATTAGGTCTTATGCTAAGATAGTGTTGAAACAATTTATCTAAGCCAATTAGATTTAGACCTACAATTTTTTCATTGTGTACTTCTGAGGGATTTGATTTGTATTTTGCCTTATTCTGACGGCAAATAGATGGTCATCATTTTACAAATTCCAAGCGACTAGAATTGATTTAAACAATTTTTATCGGCTATATTGGATCCGCCATCTTGTATTTTGAAAATCCAATAGCAGATTCATAATCAGCGACCCCAAAAACCCCTGAGAAACAAGTTTCAAGCGAATCTAGTAAATTTAAATAATTTTTGTCGGCCATATTGGATCCGCCATTTTGTATTATGAAAATCCAATAGCAGATTCATAATCAGCGACCCCAAAAACCCCTGAGTAACAAAGTTCAAGCGAATAGAGTGAATTTTTACAATGTTCGTCGGCCATATTGGATCCGCCATTTTGAATTTTGAAAATCCGATTGCAGATTCACAATCAGCGACCTCAAAAACCCCTGAGTAACAAAATTCAAGCGAATCGAGTAAATTTTTAAAATTTTCGTCGGCCATATTGGATCCGCCATTTTGAATTTTGAAAATCCGAGTACATATTCGTGATGAGAGACCTCAAAAACATATAAACACTAAGTTCTATTACATTTCATAGCTATTGCCTGAATCGGTGCACTATAAAAAAAATTAATTAATTTTTTCTCAAATTAGCGCCATTTTGAAGCCGCCATTTTGTTTTTTTTGTTTCCGCTATTGCATATTTTGAAAGTTTAATAAGTTTGTGCCAATTTGTGACACTTGTATTCATTTGAAAAAAATGTTTTCAGTAAGAAATAATTATTTAAAAAAAAAAAATTTCATTTTTTTCGCAATTTGGTGCAGAAAATTCGCCATATTTAATTTTCTATGCGATCAATTTAAAATCTGAGCATGGAATCTTGTAGAGCGACCCCGAAAACATAAAGAAACGCTTCAGTTATTTTTAGGGAGCATGTTTAATATATAAAATTATATCTTAAATTAAACACAAAATTTCAAAGGTTTCAGGCGTTAATGGGTTAATATTATTATATTATTCATTATTTCCTTTGTTTCTAAAAAATTAGCATTTTGTAACAAACAGTTTAAAAAATTAACAAATGTAAAACCTGTTAAATATTTTCTTTTTTTTAAATATGAAAAACTTTATTACTTGACAAAATTTTGACTTCTTCCTTGACTCTAAAGAATATTCTGATTGACTCTAAAATTGATTAGATACTCCAAAAAATGTTCCATTAAAATTATTTACGAATTTCTTCAATTCTAAAATTATTTGAAAACATCAATAACTTCTTTTCTAAATAAGTTTTAATCATTATTATTTTCCCACAGGAATAAATTATTTTTAATAATTTTTGAAAAATGTTCTTTGAAAATTTTAAAATCCATTTGTTTACGAAATTAAAATTATTTAGAAATTCTTCAACTAAATACGAATTAAAAAATAAATAGTTCAAATAATTTCAGAAAAAAATTCAATTAAACTTTTTTAAAATAATTAATTCTACAGAATTGTTAGTTATAAGTATGAAAAATACAAATTTTTAAAGAATTTGATTTGGAACCATT